CCTTTCGGTATCATGAGCTTTACCGTTGGCCTTATATCCACCTGTGAGATCTCTGCCAAGCGTGCGTAATATTCTTCTATGATCTTGCTACTTCAACATTGCTGCGATGCGTATGCCAATAAAAATTCTTATAGGGAAACTTAAGAGCACAGAAGTGCGTTTTCTGCTAAAGGAGGCCCAAGAATCCTCGCTGTCCCACAGGTTGAAAAGTTTTCCGGTACATTGCTAAATGAGTCGTGTGATCTCTTTAGTATCTTTCAAATGAAGCAATTGATATACCTACGGTGATCTTTCCTTGTTAATTTTTACAATTCATGGTAAAATTTATGAACTGATTTCTGGGTAGAAGCAGGACCGCATGATTGTGCATGAGGGCGTCAGATAAACTTAACCCCATCCTTCATTACGACATCTGAAAACTAAATTCGTATAACTTAAACATAGGGCCAAAGCAGATCAACCACACGAGGTTTCTATACATTTCGGCTGCAGCGCCATCCATTGGGTTCATTTTCTGCAAAACCATTGCTTACCATAAAATGAATACGTGTTATGAATTTCAACCTTAACTCCAGAATTTTCCATCATACAGGTACATAGCTCTCATTTAAAATTTGAACGAAATCGGTTAATAAATACGATTTTTATAAATAATTCTACTCCAGCACCACCTAGCGAGTTTTCTAGTAGCATGTAGTTGGACCATATATGTATGTAAGATAACCTCCGACAATCTGACGGAATTCTATCCAGTGTTTTTTGAGTTTATTCCGAACAACGAAAACAGCCATCATTTTATGCAAATAGGATAGGACAGTTTATAGCGAAACTCGTAAAAGCAAAGTTCCATTCTTTGTGAAAAACTTAAAAAAATTCTTCAAAATTTTCACATAAATTTTACGTTACTGAAAATTAAAGACAAAGTTACAATAGTTCAATGGGATTTAGAAATCTGGGAGAAAATGTTTCCCAATCGAATGATACTTGCGCGTTTACGTAAATGTATATCGATCCAGCCTTTCCAATAATTACCACTTTTCGCCATAACTACGGTATTGATAACATATGTAGCTGTGTAGAATTTCAGAACGTTAGCGTGAGCAGTTCCAGAGATAAGCTATATGAGAAGTTCAGTTTGTATGGGAGGAAGGAGCCACGCCCCCTTTCCTAATGCATTTGCAATATATCCATCAGTGCTAAGTCTCAGTTCCCCAGCGTGATCGGTTTTAGAGATATAT